AGTCTTAATGACTAATGATTTAAATAGTGATTTAAATCAAATCCACTCTAAATGCATTTTAGTCGGGCTTTAGACCTGGTTTCCGTGTGAAGGCTGCTTTGGATGCCCTCTGGGGTGACCTTTGCCAGGAAAGAGCTATAGTCCAACCCTGTTGATTCTCCTGGACTTCTCAGTGGTTTTCAAGACCCTTGGCCATGCTGTCTTCCTGGACGGGGTGGTTGGGTGGGAGCAGGGGGCACTGCCTGATTCTGCTCTCGATCGGCCAATTCCAGAGGGTGGTTCCGGAGGATTGTTGCTCTGCACCATGGCAGTTATGCCTGGGTCCCACTGGACTCTCTTTTATCCTGAATGAAACTGCTGGAAGACAATATCTGGAGGTGTGAACTGAACTGACACTAATATACAGATGACACTCAGCTCTACCTCTTCTTTTCATCAAATCCAAGTGAGGGAGTGACCGTTCTAAATCAGTCTCTGGACTTGGTAATGTCCAGGTTCAGATGAGATCAGTAAGCTGAGACTCAATTCAGACACAGTGGAGGTACTGTTGATGGGTGGATTGTCTGTCCGGCTGGGAGATGTTCAACCTGTCCCGGATGGAGTTGAACTCCCCCTTAAGCACAAGGTTCGTGGTTCGGAGATGCTCCTGGTCCCAGAGCTGCTGCTTGAGTTGCAAGTGGACTTAGTGGCATGGAGCGTCTTCTTTTATCAACTTAGACGGATTTACCAACTATGACTCTGTCTGGACAGACAAAGCCGGGCCACAGCAAACCACACTCTGGCAACCTCTGGTCTGGATTAGTATACTGCACGCCACCTGGGGCTGCATTTGAAAACAGTTCAGAGACTTCGATTGATTCAAAATAGGGCAGCAAGGCTGTTAACAGGGACTGGCTCACGAGAAGATATTAAGCCTGCTCTTTCAGCTGCATTGGTTGCCAGTCCTTGCCCACTGAAGTCCTGGCCTGATTCAAAGTGCTAGTTGTTGTTGTTGTTGTTAGTTGCAAAGTCGTGTCCGACCCATTGCAACCCCATGGACAACATTCCTCCAGGCCTTCCTGTCCTCCACCTTCTCCCGGAGTCCACCTAAGCTCACACCAACTGCTTCAGTGACTCCATCCAGCCCCCTCATCCTCTGCCGTCCCCTTCTTCTTTTGCCATCTATTGTTCGCAGCATTAGGCTCTTCTCCAGGGAGTCCTTCCTTCTCATTAGGTGGCCAAAGTACTTGAGTTTCATCTTCAGGATCTGGCCGTTTAAAGAGCAGTGAGGGTTGATCTCCTCCAGGACTGACCGGTTTGATCGCCTTGCAGTCCAGGGGAGTCGCAGGAGTCTCCTACAGCACTACAATTCAAAGGCCTCAATCCTTCGGCGCTCAGCCTTCCCTATGGTCCAACTTTCACAGCCATACATTACAACTGGGAAAACCATAGCCTTGACTATACGCACCTTTGTTGGCAGGGTGATGTCTCTGCTTTTTAGTATGCTGTCTAGATTTGCCATAGCTTTCCTCCCCAGGAGCGTCTTTTAATTTCTTGGCTGCAGTCCCCGTCTGCGGTGATCTTGGAGCCCAGGAAGATAAAATCTGTCACTACCTCCATTTCTTCCCGATCTATTTGCCAGGAAGTGAGAGGACCGGATGCCATGACCTTCGTTTTCTTAATGTTGAGTTTCAAGACAATTTTTGCACTCTCCTCCTTCACCCGCATCAAGAGGCTCTTTAGTTCCTCTTCACTTTCTAGTATTAACATTTTAAGTTTGGGGACAGGTTATCTGAAGGAAGGCCTCATTCTGTATGCACCTGCCTGGGCCCTAAGGCCATCTTCTGAGATCCTTCTCAGGAAGCTTCCTCCAAATGAGGTAAAGAGAGTGGCTACCAGGGGAAGGGCCTTTTCCATTGTGACATCCTACTGTGGAACCGGTTTTCCAGCGAATTTCCTACTCTATTCTTTTTGGCACCAGGTAAAAACCTGTATTTGTACAGCATTTTAATAGTTAACTTTTATTCTCAATTTTTATGCTGTATTTTATCTGGTATTGCTGCTGTACCCCTGGACTGATTTGATTGCGGTTGCTGTGGGCCTATTATTCCCGTTGTATCTGGAGTTGTTTTGTTGATTATTATATATTGCTTTGTTTTTTTCTTATATGTTCTTTTTAACTTAGTGAACCACTTGGAGAGTTTTTTGGCTATTGGGTGGTATAGAAATGAAATTGAATAGATAGATAATAAGATGCATTACCTGTCGTGATCCTTAGTTGCATTCAGCTTCTATGGCACACGTGTATCTTACAAAACAGGAGAGGAAATTCTACTCCATGTGACCACTAGCTGGCTATCTTTGCATGTATTCATTGGCTTGTTTATTACATTTTTATGCTCCCTTTTGTCATAATCCAGGACTCTGACCCCACATCCTCACAGGATGAGGTGCTCGAGTTAACAGAGCCTGCAAGGTGTCATGGGATTTACACCTCCCCAGCCGCAGGAGGGTCCCAGGGACTGGTTGCTTTGTGTCTGCAGGCCCCATCGCCATTGCTGGACTCCCAAGACTGTAGCCATGTGGATGCCGCCAACCGCAGTCACATCCAGATTGTCACTGGCTGAGGCTGCTGGGACAGAGATGCCTCATTTCTGAGACGGCAGGTGGCTTTTTCCTCAGGAATGCCTGCATCTCTGGTTACAACAGTGATGCTACACACTGTTGTACAAAGAATTAAATGCTATAAATATCAATGAATAAAGACAAACAGGAGCGGAAGAAGACCACACCAAAAGCAAAGCAAAACTGAAAGGTATGTATGGGGCTCCAAAATGCCAATAAAAAAGAACTAAGGGGGTCTCCAAGGGAAGTTTAGGTTTTCTTGGAATGGATCCTTACCACAATTTGTGATATATTGTTTGTTTATTCCTGTAATGGGGTTAATCCTAAATGGAAGCCCACAACATTAGCATCTTAACAGATACTGTTCCCTCATTTGTTTTCTAGAGGGGGCCACAGCATCCTAAGAGTCAGTTGTCTTGACCTGTAGTCTGTTCCATCCTGTGGGGCACCACACCCACAAAGACCCTGCACAGCCTTTTTTGCCAGACAGAGCGCCAGTGACAGTGTCCATTCTCCACCCCATCTACTGGGTGTTTTTGCGGAAGTAACTTAAAATATGAATCAGTTTTCCCCTTTGTAGCAATCGCATTCCGTCACCTTTGGAAATATTGTTGGAATCCTCACTCACATTGTTTGGGTTTTAGGCACAGCTTCATTTTATTGTCAATGTTTTTATTGTACGTTGTTGTGCTTTATAGCATTATTACTACTACTACTACTACTAGTATACTACTATATGTTATTTAGATCTGCTGTTCACCACTTTAGCTAGTATACAATGTTTGAAATAAGCATTATGTGTTTAACTCTTAACGGGTCTCTTTTCACATGCGTGTGCTGTTGCGTGTGCCTTTGGGGCACATGTGATAGACTAAAGAAATTCCATTGAACTCAGTGGCATTTATTCCTCAAGAATGTGACGGCAATTTCAGTTTTGTTCCAACTCTAACTTACTTTCAATAGTCCTTCACTTACTTTATAGCACTGGCTCCATCTAAGTCAAATGCCATTTATTTTGCTCACAGTGTTCTCCTTATGAAAAGCTGCTTGGTCCATGCCCGTTAAATAGTACTGGTTATGCAAACTGCAGCATCACAGCAATGTAAAGATGTTAGTTTCCAGTCTGTGAGCCTTTCCGGAATCTTGAATCAGTGCATCAGTGGCCAAGTCTGATGTATGCATGTCTGATGCATTTTGAAGCATGGGGGCTTAACATCTCTTTTGAAAGCTGGTATATTGCTAGCATATGAACCACACCCCAATTAAATAAGGTGGAGTCAGACAGGCAACTGTCTGTCGGCCACCAACCTCACCCCAACCCCAATAGCTACAATCCCTGGGGAATAATGCAGACCTCCCTTACAGGGCTGTTGTAAGGATGACTGAGATGGTACATGAAATTGCTTTGAACACTCAAAGTGCGAAATCTAATGACTGATAATTGTCATAAAGGTAAACGGTTTGGCTCTTTCTTGGGGGTTACCTATGAAGCCATATGGATTCTTAGGCATATCAGAATGATGTGCTAAACAGATTGAGGAAGCAGTGATGGTGAAAATCATGGAATGAATAAATAAAAAATAATGCATGAGATAGAACTCAAAATAAGTTCATCCACCAGGACCTTTCAAAAAATCTCCTACCCCAGTCTTAATTTAAAAAAAGGCATGTTTTCACGTGCTTGGCTTAAGAAAAGTAGGACTTTAAAAAGATATTTTTAAAGGTTCGCCTTTATCTTTTAGCTTCCAAGCCAGCTTGGGAGATCATTTCAAATTAATCCTGAAAAGGAGAAAAACGGTATAATGTGAAGCCTTTGGAGCTAAATTCAACCATTGTAATTTAACTGGGTTTTGAACTGGGTTGCTTGGTTTAAAACAGTGATGGCAACCAGTAAGTCAGGAACTGGTTTTTTCTTGCCAGGTTAGCCTGAATTCCAGGCACAGCCTCCAAGCAGGTTTGCAAGTGGTGTTGCTTCCAGAAGCTTTTTCTCTCCTAAATCAATTCCATTTGCTCCGTATGCTTTCCCATTTTGTTTTCAACTCACTGAAATAAAATGAAACCCAGCAGACAACCGCAGATCTGTGTCAAACAGGAGAAGGGGAGGTAAACCACAGCTTGGGCGTGTCTGCTCACATCCCCCCTTTGCTAACAGCTGCTGCATTTCTGCTCCTCAGATTCCTGGCACTGTAAAAGATTTGGACATCAAAAGCTACCCTCAGAGGCTAATCGATATTCTGATCTGGGAACCTCTTCTTTCTTTCAACCCCCTTTTCTTCTCTGTCTCTGTCTGTCTGTCTGTCTGTCTGTCTCTTTCTCTCTCCTCCCTTCTTGAATAGCCACAGCCCCCTTGAGCTGAGTCAGAACCGTCCTCTCCTCCACAGCATTGCAGTACTTCAGCAGAAAAGCCAGCCTTCTGCCTCTCGCTGCCTCTGCACCTTCCTTTGCTGCATCTTCTCTCTCACCCATCTCACCGCCATGGCCAGCACCGTCTCAGGTAAAACAAAAAGCCGTTTTTCTTTCTCTGCGGTGACATTTTGGAGAGTGGAGCTATTTGCACTGATCGGTGTAACTCACCCTTTTCATTTCCAAGGTGGGGCTCGGCAGCTAAGCCAGACCCAAAGAGCTAGGCAAGCATTGTTGTCTTCTCTTGCTTACAAAATCTGCATTATAATTTATTCTCTTTATAGCTAAAAAAAACAAAATCATTTAGCTGAATGCTGGTAACCAGAAATCACTGGGGTGGGGTGTGTGGGTGGGGGGGGGGTGGAACTAGATTTCTGTAAAATTGGCTTGGCAATTGTAGAAAGGAAGGGGAGAGAAGAGGAGAAAATATATCTTTTAAAAATATGGAACATCTCGATTAGCAGAATCGGGGCAAGTTGGCTTGCCAGAAGCTGCTTTAGAGGGAGTGGTCTGCCCATGGCGCTGAATGAAAGCAGTGCTCAGACCACCCTTTTCTGCAGGGCTGTGACACCACCGCATCGCTGCACCTCGCTGCCCTCCCAGGTTCCAAGGCCTGGCTGGTGGGGCGGGGGCGGGCGCAGCGTCCTCGCAGTGCGGCCACCGCCTGGCGTGCCTGTTCGGGCACCTGCTTCCCAGGTCCTGGTCACGCACCTTGCTATATCTGCCTTTCTTTTAAAGATGGGGCCAAGCAGCTGGAATTTGGCAGGGAACAAACCCGTGATGTTTTTTTTAACCAAGACAATAGACGGCTTGTGTCGATTTTCAAGACCTTGCCCCCTCGCTACCAGTCTGGAAACCTTTTCTGAATGGAGGCATCGGTCATTTTTCTTGACTGCATTGGAAAGGAATTGGTTGGCTCCGTTCTGAATGAATAAAAGAGGAAAGAGAAGGGGAAGGTGGCTATACACATGGATAAACACACACATTAGCTGGAAGGAAGACACTGTTGCTGGTTTCTCTGGGGTTGCCCAGCCCTGTAATCCCTGCGGTTCCTTGGGTGTGCATTCCCCTTTTAAAATACCAGGGGCGATGCATGTATGTGTGTGCTTGTCCCTCCTAAGGAGCTTTGTGTGAGGCTAGAAACCCTTTTAAAATACTTGACCTATACTAGAAAATCCACATAGATTGTGTCTGAATGAGAGTCAGGAGTGGCAGAAAGAAAGGCAAGGCTGGGGAGGTTTTCTTGGTCTTCCTCTCCTCCTATTCCTTTACTGCAGAATTCGTCTACAATAAATGAAAACGCACAGCTTTGCTCAGGCTCCTCCATGCTAAAGGCAAAGGCTGAAGGACCCTGCCGTGAAGGAGCTGGGGGGTGGAGTGACACATCTGGGTACCAGGTGCCTTCCCCATATGGTGCTCCGAAACAATATGGTACTTTCTCCCCCTCAGTCCCCCCCGCCCCGCATCCCCTGAACAATAAATTTCAATTTGCTGACAATGGGACAGGGCTTTTAAGGCTGAGCGGTTGGCCTTGGAGGGCTATTTCCAATCCTCTTTCTTTTCCAATTGGATTAGATTTGCCATAAGACCCGTTTGAAAGAATAGGGATTCCGGGATGACACGGGTGTAATAGAAATCCGAAGAAAGAGCGAGGAAAGGTTTTTCCGAAAACAAAGAGCATGATAGAGCAGAGTCATCCCTGCCCCAGTCAGCATGAGACAGCTCAAGATTCCCTCCAAGGGCTGCGAAGGGAGGTTTTTTTTTTTTTTATCCTAAGCCTGTTTCTCCTCCTGCCCTCCACCCGTTTCACACACACACACCCCTCCTGCTCCTCCGCCCGCCCTCCTGCAAGCAGGACACATCTGAAGCAAGAGGAGGAGCGGGTGGCATGCGAGCGTCTCGGAGGACGTCTGAGGCTCTCTCGGAAGCCCAACCTGCCTGCCCCTGGGAAAAAGGTCTAGCGCTCTGTGCCGCCTTCCGCTGGCTTCCCCGGCATGTTCCAGCCGGCTGAAGGGGCTCATTTCCACGTAGCCAAGAGGGGAGCGACAGCACATGCTCGGGGAGGCCTCGGCTGCAGTGGTGGCAGCGCTGTGCCAAAGGACGCTGCCCAGGTAGAGCTGGCTCGTGCCATTCCAGCCAATGCGTCTGCACAGCTCGGCTGCATCTTCAGGCACCGCCTCCCAGACAGACTCCCCACCCGCTCCAGTCAATGGGGCCCGTCCAGCATTTCTGTATGGCATTTCCTGGGGACTCTGAACTGGTGAGAGATGCCAAAAGCCTCTTGGATTTTGTTTTGTTTTTGGCTTTCTGGGTAGATGCGTGCCTCTTGTTGGGCCCAGCCCACTCATGGTGCAAACTGTATATTTGGCCCTTAAAGAACGGCTGCCTTAAAATGTTTAAACTAAACACCCACTAGTAACCCTTGCTGTGGGCAGTGCCTGAAGGTAGTTGAAGAACTCAAGGAGCATGCACATTAATCAAATGCTGAGTATTTCTCCAACGAGGGAGGAAAGAGTTTGTGGAAAGAGTGAGACAGAGTGCCAGAGGCAGTGGGGAGAAGGTCTGAACGTGGAAGCCACAATTGTAGCAGGAGTCTTTCCTGGCCGTGCCTTTTCTTAGGACATGAAATAGAAATGTGCGACACCATGTTCCAGATGTACAGCTGACATTCATCTGTTCGCTGGAACCAATGGTAGATGGAGAATGGAAAACAAAAGTAAAATATTCTCTGAATCGGCACATTCTCATGCAAAAATACTCAAAAACTGATATTGTTGTATAGAGCTAATCCACTGATAAGCCACAATCTCTATCAATTCAAGAAAATATACTACTGCTACTGACAAAGATCCTGATGCTGGGAACAGCTGATGGCAAAAGAAGAAGGGGGCGGCAGAGGATGAGGTGGCTGGATGGAGTCACTGGGGCAGTCGGCATGAGCTTAAGTGGACTCCGGGGGATAGAAACATAGAAACAGAGTGAGTCAGAAGGGGTCTCCCGGGTCATCTAGTCTGACCCCTGGCTCCAGCCAGCTCTGCTCATGACATGCCCACCATGGTGGAGGACAGAAAGGATGGTGGAGGACAGGAAGGCCTGGAGGAATGTTGTCTATGGGTCGTGATGGGTCGGACACGACTTCGCAACTAGCAAGCAAGCAAACTAACAAAGCACATTCCCCTGAAGCCTTGAAAAAGTGTGTTCCACCTCACTGGGGGCAATGTGGATGGGCCCTTTTTTGGTTTCCTTGCTTCAACCCATGGTTTGGGACGACTGAAGTCCACCTGTCAAGGCTGCATAGAATTACTGTTGAACATATCTACGTTACCGATAGTTTACACATGTCCATGTACTACATGGCTGGCCCTGGTCTTCTCTCTGACTGGCCTGCAGTTCCTACAGAGACCTGCAGAAATGGCAGTGATCCTTCATAGTTGCATACATTCATTTCTACATCCTGGCTTCAGCATTGCTTGAAATTCTGCTTCCTGAAGGATTCTGGTTCTGTTTTTATCTCTTTGCTAATTTTTGGTGTTTCCTCAGACAGAAGGCCTCATGGCTAGGCCCTGACTAGCTGCCCCTGTTGTAAATCCTATACTCTCCAGGAACTGATCTTCTAGTTAAGAGAGGACACCTTTCAATTTTCCTTTAACCTCAATGTATACAGTCCTACAGAACTCTATGCAGTGCTTCCCCCATTACACATACTTAGGCAGTATGCAAAAAATGACTGACTTCTCTTGCTTTTAAGAACAGCACGAAGGAAGGATTTTTCATAGACACTGCTTGTCTTTTGGGAGGGCTTTCCAAAATTCTCAAAATTTTCCCAACTCTATTTAAGATCCTTTAAACCAAATAAATCTGTGATCTTCTGAGTCAAAAGAGTGCATGCACTCATGTGCAAGGTGTTTCCAGACAGGTCACTAGTGGCACTACTAGTGAAAAGATACTACGTGTCTGTTCTCTGTTTTATTTCAGTAATGGTTTTTTTCAGGTGGTAAAAAGAAGGAAGAAAAGATGGGGAACTGAGGGAAGGTTAGAAGCAGGAAAGAGTCTATTGAGACCTCCCATAAGGTTCCATGAATGAGGCTGGACAACTACACCCTAAAAAGTCATTTCTGAAAGTACCCAGAGTTTCTTGACTGATAACTGAAGTAATTTTGCTGGCTGCAGTGCTACCCCCCTATAAAATCTGCAAATTGGTTTTAAGCACAGAACAGACAATTAGGAACTATGCAGCAAAAAGTGAATTTAAAATTGAGGGCACAGGAATAAAAATCCACAGAGCTAATATTTAAAAGGCCTGGAAAAATAAGGTGTTTACCTGGCAGTGGAAGCTTAATGAGGCAGGTCGTATGCAAACCACTCTAGTAAGGGCATTCCATAATCCAGGGGCCACTATTGAAAAGGCCCTTTCTTCCATAGTAACCTGCACTACCTAACTATAGCACCCACCCAGTTCTAAAATGGGTGGCAAAAATGCAGGTGATATAAAATATGGGTGGTGAGCTTCCAGTGACAAAGATGGCTCCCTGAGCACATCCAAACTACAAGCCTAGCTCTTTAGGGGAACTGTAACCTTCACGATTAGGCTGACTGCTCACCTGAGCAGACGAACCTGCCTCTAGCAGTATCTCCATCTTGCCTTGATTGAACGCCATTTCTTTTGACCTCTATTCAGGCCATTTCTGTGGTTAAGCACTGATTAAGTTCCTCCAATTCCTCTCCTGGTTGGGTGCAGATCAGTGCTGAGCATCATGGAGGATAAAATAAAGATCCCATTTCTTCACCGGACCTCTGCTTCTTGGGTGATGACAGACAGTATCCCACAAACTGGTCCTGATGTATACATAACCACTTGGTACGCAGGTTGTTTGTAATGCCCTGCTAGACAGTGGCAGTCCAAAACTCACTCAGTCCCAAACCTCTCTACCCTTGTTTCCCCTTCTATTGTCGCGTGCCTTCCAAACCCAAGCAGATGGCATTGCATCATTCCTGTTAACTGGCAATATGGTTAAAAGGGAGACGGGCAGCTTGCCAGATGGCAATTCGCTTCCTTGCAAGTGGAAGTGAAGAGGTTTAAGTGTATGCCCA